GGCCTTATAAAGGACTCAGAGAGATGCCTTCTACCAAGTGATGACAAAGCAAGAAGGAACCATCTAGGGCATAGGAAATAGGCCCTTATCAGACACTGAATCTGCTGACACCTTGATCTTGGACTTCCCAGCCTCTAGGACTACGAGAAATAAATATCTGCTGTTTATAACCTATCAAGTTGGGCTGGGAATGTGGCTCAGGCGGTAGCGCTCATCTGGCATGCATGTGGCCCGGGTTCAATCCTCAGCACCACATACAAACAAAGTTGTTGTGTCCGCCAAGAACTAAACAAAAAATAAATATTAAAAAAAATTCTCTCTCTCTCTCTCTCTTTAAAAAAAAAATATATATATATATATAAACTATCAAGTCATCACTTTTTTGTTATAGCAACCTAAGCTAATTAAGAAAAAGGAAATAGAGAATAGAGCAGAAATAGTGAATAGAATGTTGTGATGAGAAAAAGAAAAAAAAATGTGTCACATTAGATTGGATAGAGAGAAATGATGGGAGGGGATGGAGGAGTAGGGGGGATAGGAAGGGCAGCAGAATAGAACAGACATTATGATTGCTGTATGTATGTAGGTGACTCTATGACCAGTGTGATTCTGCAATCTGTACAATCAGAAAAATGAGAAATTATACCCCAATGATTCAAATGTATGAATTGCCAAGATCATTGTAATGTCATGTGTAGCTAACAAAAAATTTAAAAAAAAGAAAAATCAAGAAAAAAAATCAACAAAACTGATTTTTTAAAAGATTAACAAATTGACAAACCTTTAGCCAGACTGAGGAAAAAGAAGGAAGACTTAAATAAAATTAAAAATTAATGATAAAATATTACAATGGATACCATAGAAACAAAGATTGTTAAGATACTATATTAAGGCCAATTGTATGTCAATGAATTAGATAGTTTAAAATAAATTGGTATATTCCTAGAAACATATAATGTATCAAATCTTAATCACAATGAAATGAAAAGTCTGAACCGACCTATAACTAATAAGAGGAATGAATCGATCAACCTTGCATAAAGGAAAAGTCCAAGATTAGATGGCTTGACTGATAAATGCAATCAAATATTTAAAGAACTCAAGCCAATCCCTCTCAAATTATTCCAAAAATATTTAAGAGGGAAAATACTTCCAAATTATTTTTAGAGGCTAGAATGACCCTAAAATAAAATCCAGAAAAAAGAGCTGGGGTTGTGGCTCAGCAGTAGAGCACTGGCCTAGCATATGTGAGGCTCTCGGTTCGATCCTCAGCACCACATAAAAATAAATAAATAAAATAAAGGTATTGTGTCCACATACAACTAAAAAAAATTTTAAAAATACAGAAAAAGGTACTACAAGAAAACTACTGGCCAATATCCTTAATGAATATATATTTTTAAAAATCCTCATCAAAATATTAGAAAATCAAATTCAACAATACATTAAAAGAATCAATTCTGGGATGTAAGAAACACTTCAATATAAAAGATAATCAATGTACTACAACATGTGAGCAGAATAAAGACTAAAAATTACATGATTATCAGAAAGAAAGAAAGTCAGTGAGATAGAAGAATTTTGGCTAAACTCAACATCTTTTCATGGTAAATTCACTTAAGAAACTAGGAATAGAAGGAAATTGCTTAATGTAATAAAGCCATGTATGAAAAACCCACACTAACATCATATTCAACAGTGGAAAACTGAAAGCTTTTCCTTTAAGCAAAATATGCTCACTCTATCCACTTCTACTGAACATAGTGCTAGATATTCTAGCCATAGAAATCAGGCAAGAAAAAGAAATAAAAGAAAGGAAAGAAGAAGTAAAATTATCTCTGTTTGCAGATGACATAATCTTCTTTGTAAGAAAAAAAAACTCAAAAAGATTTAAAAAAAAGTTATAACTAATTCAATAGTTAAAAAGATAGTGTACAAAAATCAACATTGAACACTCACCCCCCCAAAAAAATATATACATACACACACACACACACACACACACATACACACACACACATATATATACACACACATGCATATACTTTTAATTTAATATATATACATATATATACACACATGCATATACTTTTAATTTACAACCCATAAAACCCATCATTCAGATATTTACTCAAGAAAAATGAAAGTGTATGTCCACAAAAGACCTGTTCCTAAGTGTTAACAGCATAACAACTCAATTTATATTTGCACATGAATTGGAAAGAACCCAGCTGTTCATCAGGAAGAGAATGGAAATACACACAATGGAATATTTCTCAACTATTAATAGTAAAGAATTACTGATACATGGACCCACATTGATAAATCTCCAAGTATCATGTTAAGTGGAAGAAGAGACACAGAAAACCACAGACTATGTAATTCAATTCATGTGAACCTCCATGAAATAAACAATTATAGAAATAGAAAGTAAACTGATATTCTTGGGACTGAGTTGAGAATGGGTTAGAAATGGAATGGGAAGAAGCAGAAGAGAACCTCTGAGTTGATAATACCTCTCTTCATTGTATGGCATTGACACAGATATATACATTTGTCAACACAGAATAATCTATACATACTTTTGCTAAATAAGTTAAACTTTGGTGCACAATCTTTGATTTTAAAAAAGAGGAAGAAAAAAAGGGAACAAAAAATGACAGTAACAATGATCATTGGTTTGGTCTTCAAAAGAATCCAAAACAAAATAAAAGCCTGACCATAACTTCAAGGTACATATTCTTCTGGATTGTTCTACGCAGGCAACTTTTATACAAAACTGAGAGATTAAGGTAATGAATTGGAATGCCCTTCACACTTCTTTACCCAAAGTTTGGCTCTGTTTCAAACCCTCCCACTGCCTCCAATTTTTTTAGATTAATCTTTCCAAGCCTCAGGAACCGTAAAAGACTTAGTAACCTGTGAAAGTATGTGCATGTTGTGAGTCAGTAAAAGATAATAATGGCAAGTTGAAGAGGGGTTCCCCAGGATTCAGTTTAGCCCTTCCTCCTAGCTATTTGCTGCTGAGATCTTGTTTCTCTCATAGGCAGAACTGCTAGGATAAAATTGAATCTGAGTGCAGGAGCACAGGCCAGATCTGGAATACTCCCAGTTTGTCCCTGGCTATGAGGTAAGGTAAAATCAAATCTATCATGAATTATCATCTCAGAAATAAGTTTTATGCCTTCAAATCTTGTCCTGGAGCCATTTGACTTAAATGCTTCTTCCTTTAGACTGCTTATGCTTAGTGTGAGAGTGAATTTAGCTTAATAACAATGCTTGCCATTTTAGCAAAAATGCAAGTACATACTTCAGTCTCAGTTCTAGCCTCACCCCCCTAGGATGGGCTTCCCTGACTACTTTTGTCACCCAACACACATGCCACACTCAACCACATCACCTCTCCATGGCATTCATCAACATATGAAATACACAGTTCCCCTTCATTGTCTGTCTTGTGCCACTAGAATGACATCCCATAAAACAGTAACTTGTCTACCCGCTCACAGAACCCTGGAAACAGTACTTAGGCCAAGTTAGTATTTCAAGAATATTTTTGGATGAAGTACATTATACTATCTAGGCAGATTTAAAAAAAAAAAAAAAAGCTATGTTGAATCTACATTTAAATTCTTCCGAACATCTCTATTCACACCCTTGATCAGTAATAATCATTTAAAACATAAAATTGTGTTCTAAATGATGGTTAGCTTCTAATGAGAGACTTACAAACTCAAGTTATCAACATGCAAATTGCTTTTTTACTTTAATTCCCTTCAAAAAATTTTAAATTAGGACTATGATGTAGTCTTTTCTGGATGTATTTAATGTCATTAGCTATCAAGCAGATATACACATTTTCTTTATGTAAGCATCAAAGACTTCAGTTGATTTATTTTGCCCTTTTCATGGTTCAGAGGGTCCTATTTCAAAACTGTAAATAAAACTTAACTGAAAATATGGAAATGCTCAGGGTAAAGTCACCTGGTAAATACAATTGCACAGAAGAGGAAAGGCATGCAAAGGAAGTACATAGTATTTTATCTTTCTTTGATTTATTGCTCTAAGGGAAAGAAAAAATACAGTTCCAAAAACCTTCATCAAATGTAAACTGTTTAATAAAAAAGTGTAAATAGAAAAGTGAAGCATAAATAAAAATATAAAAATACTTCTTTCTATCAGAGAGACTTCAGAAAGAGGTATGAATGGATTACCCTGAGAGCATTTACTTTGAATAGAGGATTGTTACTCTTCTTAGGTTCATGTTTAGATTAGTCAAGTCAAATATGGGTCTCATTGTCTCTGGCCTCCATGCTATAACAAAAATTTGACTTTTGTACTCAGTTGGTGGTTATATAATGTGTTGCATTATGTTCCCCGCCCCCTACAATTTATCCTAACCCATGGTATCTGTAAATGTGACCTTATTTGGAAAGAGGGACTTTGCTGATAAAATAAAGTTAAGGATCTTGAGATGATATGATTCTGGATTTTAGGTGGGCCCTAAAACCAATGACTTATGTCCTTAGATGAGGAATGGAGATTTGAGATGTGCAGATACAGAGAAAACCTGAAGGGGAAGGATATGTGATACAGAGGGGGATGATGTCTGTCCAGTCCAAGGCATGCTGAGAATTGCCACCAACCACCAGAAGCTAGGAAAGAAGCACAGAATGAATTCTCCTGAGTTTCCAGAAAAATCCAATCCTGGAGACACTTTGATTTCAGACTTGTGGCCTATGAGAGAGCGAGCGAGAGAGAGATATTACATTCTTATTGTTCAAAGTCACCAAATTTGTGGTAATTTGTTATGGCAGTCCTAGGAAACAAATACAATTTTATACTGTTGCAACTAGGCTTTCTCTTCTCCTGTCTAAAAGTTTGTAGAACAAGATGTCTTGTTACTTTGCAGGCCACAGTGGGGCACTATAATCTGTATCTTTGGGAAGTAGCCTTTGAACAGTCTTTTTAAAAAGCTTCTTTAGATTCTTTTGTCATAGTGTTTATTTGGGAGAAAAACAATAACAACTTTAGTACTCCGGAAAAAGTATCTGAGCACCACGGAAAACTCTTTCTATTTAACAACATTTAATATTCTTGAAGAAAAAAAAATACAGGTTAGTAACTTGTATTTTCTTTAAAATGATTGCTTTGTATAGCTGTTCTTTATTCAGTGCCACTGCAGTATTTTGATTTTACTGTGTTATATGAACATTGTATTTCATATTACCAATACAATGAGTGAAAGTAGATGGAGCAAGGGCAATCACCCACTTTCTTCAGTGTTTGCAACATCTATTATGAACATGGGCTATAATAATGAATTCACGATATATGAGGTAAAAATTTAGGAGTAATTCTATGTAAATGAGTTTGTCCTTTTGCAGCTCAGTAAACAACTTTACTATGATTCAGTCATTTGAAGAGGAAATTTTATAAGCATTCTTGACAACTACTTCTCTCCTGATTTGTTACCATTTTGCCATTATCATCTAAATATTTTCTAAATATTTTTAAATATTTCTCCTTAGTTCCACTCTCTCAGAAAAAAAGCTTATGTCATCTCGTGATTAGACATTCGCAGTGTGTTTCTAACTGGTTTCCCATCTTCACTATTTGTTCAATCCATCATTCATCCACAGTGCTTCTAGAGTTATATTTTTTTTTCCTGAAACAAATCACGTCTCGTGAATACAAATTCCCCAGCATGATACAGAAGGCCTTTTGTTCTGGCACCTGTCTAGTTCCCTAGTCATTTCTCGTGACTTCCTCAACCCTCATTCTGTGCCTGTTGGGGCAGATGTTGGTAGTTGCCTACTGAATATGTAATCTTTCCTTTTCTTTATTCTTAGAACTTCATTTTATTTTGGGACATCCACATGCTCAGTTCAAGAGAGAGGAAAAAAAATAGATTTCTCAGCCTTGTTTCAGCCAGAAGTGGTTATCTGATGCAATTGTTGCCAGAGAGATGTAAGCAATGCATGTTGGGAGGTTCTGGGAAGAGTATGGTTTCTTGAAATAGTGCCCCCATTTTCTATTTTATAGTTCCTTCTTATTTCTGCCTGGCTAAGTGAACTGAGACCTGGAGGAGAACAGTATTTTGCTACAGTTAGAAAAATACAAGGATGAACCTACCAGCTTTGCACCAGGATGCAGAGAGATGAAAAGAACTTAGAACATGGATTGCATCACCACATTGCTGCACCATCCCGAGCTGTCAGTCTCTAGACCTTTTTTTTTTTTTGAGATAAAATCAATCCCTATTTGCCTATGCCACTAAGTCATTTCACTTTTACATGTAAGCAAATGCAATCTTAACAGATACACCTGTTAGCAATGTATTATTCATCTTTTCTTGAATAAGTCTTTGGTATTAAGATTTTGTGTCTTACTAGACTCTGCTTGTCACCTGGAAAATCCCTTTATATAGTGTTTACAACACAACTCAAATAATACCACTTCATAAAAACATTTTACACATTCTTCCATCCCAATTATTATTCTATCTCAGTGCCCTTACCAGTAGGGGGCACACCATAAAATGAATAGGCATTACCAAGGCTTCATTCTGTATGAAATGCCATTGCCTCATGGGACTGTCTGAAATCTAAATTTTACCTGAATTGCAAATAAGTCCACCTGATTTAATTTTTTCAGACTCTTCTATTAGAAAATACTAAAAGTTTTTAAACTTGGTTTGTGAAGTTAAAGAAAAAAAGTGTTTACAAGAATTGCTTTTATACCAAAAAGTAATATATGGATAATATAGGTACTTATATGTAGTTATTCTATATTATATATAATATATTATATGAGATTTTGTTTGGAAATTCTAGCAAGGGAGTACAGCTATTCATAAAACCTTGACCAAAGAATAGTTGTCTTCAATGGAGTGCACAGCTTTGTGAGGGACACATATGGAGCAGTAAGGGAGGTGGGGGACATCTTCTAGTCAACCAGATCAGCCAAATCAATCCTGGCAATCAGTGGGGTGTCTGAGATGACACACATTGCAGCCAGATCCTAAATCTGGAATATATATATATATATATATTACACACACACATACACACACATGTATATACATATATATGAACACAGAACTTGTGTATCGTACTTACATAAGTGTAACAAAGATGTAACTGTGTACACAAAAATGTAAATTCTATATAGATAGAATAATCCTGCACTAATCTAAATCTTTGTGTATTCAGGATAATGTGTCTCAGACACTGATGTTTGTAAAAATCATCTGCAGATTTTGTTAAAATGGAGACCTGGTGGACTGGGGTGGGGATTGTGATCTGAATTTCTAGCAAGCTCTCAGATGTTGCAAATATTACTGGTTCAGGTGCCACATTTTAAGTAGCAAGAATACAGTGAAACCATAAGATAATTATGTCCAAAGTAAGCATCTCTATTTCAATATAGACGCAAATATCTTCTTTCCTTGTTGGTTCTCTCCCACCTTCTTCTCTAAGGATTCGGAGAGTGAAGTCCATGACCACAAAGACCATCTTTTCTTCATCCTCATATCCATCATCTAGTATCTAGCACAGCACCTGACAGACATTCTGCAGGCTACTTACCAATACAACAACAAAAAAATTACATAAGTTAAGGACCAACAGGTTACAGACTTGTTCTAAGGTTCCCATAAGGAAAAGAACTTGCAAAGATGAAGAATTTTATGAAAGGAAAAGTCCTTTTACTGTATCTTATTGGATAGATGGGATTTTGAGCAGCAGAAATTGGAAAGATGTCCTTGAAGCCAGAGAATCACATGAGTAAAAAAAATCAGAACATGCTCAGTAGGAATTAAAGCAAGAAGAATAATTAAGAGTATTAAATAGTTCATGTGGATAATAGAAAGATTTGATCTAGAATAGAAAATAAAACAGGTAGTAGACATAGAAAAAAAATACTTGTGCATATCGGGCCAACCTTGGTAGGTAGAGAAGGTAAGGAAGTCCATGACAAAGGAATTGATTGAGCTTCAAATAGATGCATTTTGTGGGAATTTCGTCCCTAGGGGGAGCTCTTTACATCTGCCTTCTTTTGTCACTTACTGAGCTGAATTTCTAATAGAATTTAGAACAAAGAAACTTAACAACAAACACAAACATAAAACAAAACAACAAAAACACCCAACTTAGGCTCTTAAAGAAATTAAACTTTCATTTTTCTATTTTTGTCTAAATGAAATTGGGATTGTTTATTTTAAAAAAGGGATAGAGGACTACATTCTGTTTTCAGACTCATGAAGGTGGGACGAGAAAGCTAAATAAAAAATAAGACTAAGAGATCTCAGTTTGTGTCTTGGCTGGATGTTGGAGCATCTTTGATGTGGCCCTCATCTAGTGTGGTTTGACCAGAAAGCGGCACTCAAGGGAACCCCATATGGTAGACAGTGTGGGTTCCCTTGCACAGTTTTGCCTGTTTTCAACTATGTTTCTTTCTTACATAAAGAGTTTCCTTGTTTCACTTGGCCATGTTCTTTCTACCCTACTTGTTATACCAGTATTTAGAAAATAATATCAAGGTAAGTATGAAAATATTCAGTACTTACACTTCACCAAAAATGTTCTCACCCAGAATACCCTAAACTTTAGGGCCAAAGATGATATGAAATCAGGTTTACCTATGTTAAGATAGGCATTATCAAAAGAATGAAACAATGGAGATTTTTCTACAACTCTAAATTATAGGATACATTACAGAATATTTATGTCTGTGAATGAGAGTGTGTACTGTCAATCCTCTGTATCTGCAGGATTCACATCCACAGATTGAATCAACATGGATTGAAAATATACAGAAAACCAGTTGCACTGGTACTGAACATTTTCATACTTACCTTGATATTATTTTCTAAATACTGGTATAACAAGTGTTTGCATAGCATTTTCACAATATTTGGTATTAGAAGTAATCTAGAAACCAAAGTGTACTGTAGGATGTGTATAGATTATATGCAAATACTATGCCATTTTATATAAGGGATACATGTATTCTTAGATTTTGAATTTGGTGGGGGATCCTGGAACAAATTTCCCATAAATAGTAAGGGACAACTCTACTTGAACTGAATTCTCAAGTTTATAGAAAATAATGGTTAAGCACCTGAGCTCTACAAGCAGTTGGACCTTGGTTTGAAACCAGGCTCTGCTCACCATTTAGCTATGTGACCTAAACTGACACATTAAATAATTAAACCTCAGTTTTCTTTATCTGTAATATGAGGGCAAGTATGCATTTGGCACAGTGTCCAGCACAGTAAGAAGGCAATTAATGATACAGTTGTTTTCCTCTCACACACAATTTCTCAGTGTCTCTCATGTATAGTTGTCTGCTAGTTCATTTATGCTTTGCAAGAGTCCTCAAAAAATGGCTCAGTTTGACCTAAAGTCCAATTTCTTCTTTTGGACCATCATCTCGAGTCATATAGATTTACTTCTATATTTGGCTAAGAACAACTTACTAATGATCTACTAAATTCATCCTAATGTTTGTAAAGTTTGACGTTTGTATATTAATTATCACGTTTTGAATGTTCCTATGATAAATCTAATATTTCATATTTTATTTCTCATGGAGCATTTAATATATTTGCAAAGACCATGTACTCTACCCACAATCACAAATATTTGGTGTGGCAGAGGTTAGCTGTGTGCTCTCCAAGCCCTTTTCCTTTTATTCTGTGACACAGAGTTACATTGGTTTTACTAAGTTCCATTTGTCACCAAATCTAGCCAGGGGTATTTGATATGTGCTACTCCCAGTCCAAAAAATCTTTTCATTGTATCCTCTGTGCTTTTCTCTTTTCCGTTGGCTTGATGCAGAGGTAGAGGAGGAAAGTAAATGTACCCATTTTAGGTACATTAACGGGGTCCCTAGAATTTACACTAAGAAGGACAGATTAATAGGGAAAAAAGCAATGCATTCACATTGAATGTAAGTTTTACATGACATAAGAACCTACATAAGGAAATGAAGACCCAAAGAAGAGGTTAAGTCTAAGCATTTCATAGGTGTGATGAAGAGTGGAGAGTCCTGGGAAAATGTGGACGGCCTAAATGTGCCAGCTAAGAGCAGTCAACTAAGGGAAACAGAGCAG